GTTAATTTCGGAAAAGTAAATAATCTAATATCGCATTTCTTCGTGTTTATGGCAAAGTTTGATACGTGCGCAGTTGGCTATGACTCAGCAAGGGGTAGGCTCATGTAAAGCTTACTATTGTGATCATTCTTGTTAAACTAAACGTGATGATAAATTAAAAAAAAAAGATTGTTAACGCATTAACAAGTTATCCTGGAATAAAATATTGCAATTACTTACCTGTTGTAAAGAAAAAACGTACGGTTGCTTAACCAGCAAGAAGTGGTATCTAAAATTCATTAATAAAAGGGAAAATTGCTTTTAGCCCTTAAATAAAAATCGCCCCCACCCCATGAATAAGTCAACGAGTTTAATACCCCCTAAGATCAAATTTTGTAATCAATCGTCCCCACCCCATGAATAAGTCAACGAGTTTAATACCCCCTAAGATCAAATTTTGTAATCAATCACCCACCCTCCCTCTAGCTCATATATGTCCCTATAAGTGTACTTTAATTTCAAAAATATCCCAAAATGCCTGTTTCTCCTTTTAAAAAAAAAACTCTAAATGATCTCAATTACTCTCTTCTACTTTGACCCTCAATTCTGATCGACGACGGCGGAACTCGTCCCTCCCTCGAACCTCCCACAACCTCCTGCACCACTACCCTCCCCTTTCCCTATAGGAGGTGCCATAGCAGCAGGAGCGAGCCCTTTGCTCCCCCTCCCACACTGCTGCCAAGGACCTCCTTCGCCGCCACCCTTTTTTCCGCTATAGCCAAATCAATCCCACGTCATCGATAAAACCCAACTGAACTCAAGCTGTTATTCTTATGAGTTAGTTGTTAATATTTTCAGTTTATTGTTAACATTATGTGAAGTCATTAAGGGTTTTAATTGGTTATTAAGGTTATGCATTAGTTATTATTGTTGTGAGTTAGTAGTTAACCTTGTAGGTTAGTTGTTAAGGATCAGCTATCAAAGTCGATTCTCTTCTCTTTTTATTTTCATGGATCATTGTTTGTGGGTTCAACGAGTAGCTCATAAATTTAACAACTAATTCATAAGTTTAACAACAAACTAATAAGGCTAATAACTAACTAATAAGGTTAACAACTATTTCATAAGTTTATAGCATAGTTGTTAAAGTTACAATCTAGTTGATAAAGATACACGTTAATTGTTAATGTTACAATTTAGTTGTTAAGTTTATATGTTAATTGTTAAGGTTACAGTTTAGTTAATAATGATATATGTTAGCTGTTTAGTTCAGCTTGGTTGTAAGATTACATATTAGTTATTAAGTTTACAATATAGTTGTTAAGTTTATATGTTGGTTGTTAAGGTTACAATTTAGTCTATAAGAATACATGTTAGTTGTTAAGTTCACAACTTTATTGTTAATGCTAGAGTTTAGCTATTAAGGTTACAGTGTAGTTGTTAAATATATATATTTGTTGTTAAGGATATAGTTTAGTTAATAACAATACACACTAGTTGTTAAGTATATAGTTTAGTTGTTAAGTATACATGTTAGTTGTTAAGTATATGATTTGTGTTCGCAGAAAAAATAGGGGAGGGGTGGGAGGGATGCACACACTTAGAGAGAGAGAGAGAGAGAGGACCTAAGAAGGAGAGCGGTCCTAAGAAATGGGGTACAATGAGGGAAAAAGTAATGGTTGGGCGGCATTAGTTTTGGAGGCTAAGAGCATCTACAACAGCTTCCTCATTTCCCACTTTTGGAGAATATAGTTAGGTTTTTGGTCCAACAGATTCTCCATCTCATTCTCCAAAATAGGGATGGATGAGAAAAAATGGGGAAGCTTCCCCAAATCTGCAGCATTCTCCAAATTTTTGGAGG